GTTTCCCCATCGGGATCCGTATTCGGTTTCCCCATCGGGATCCGTATTCGGTTTCCCCATTGGGACCCGTATTCGGTTTACCCATCGGGCTCCGTATTCGGTATCCCCATCGGGATCCGTATTCGGTTTGCCCATCGGGATCCGTATTCGGTTTCCCCATCGGGATCCGTACTCGGTTTCCCCATCAGGATCCGTATTCGGTTTCCCCATCGGGATCCGTATTCGGTTTCCCCATCGAGATTCGTATTCGGTTTCCCCATCGGGATTCGTATTCGGTTTCCCCATCGGAATCCGTCTACGAAATCCCCATCGGGATCCGTCTACGGAATCCCCATCGGGATGCGAATTCGGTTTCCCCATCGGGATCTGTCGATGGAACCCGTCATCGGGATCCGTCTACGGAACCCGTCATCGGGATCCGTCTACGGAACCCGTCATCGGGATCCGCCTACGGAACCCGTCATCTTCCACTTTATTTTAGCTTTTAGTAGGGGTAAGAGGGGCACAGTGAACAGGTGGGGCATAGTGAGCATCCAGCTTGAACTTCCGGCTGTTCGGAAAAAAAATGGTTGGTGGTAGGATCAATATCATAATGATATTGAACCTACCACCAGTTGATTTGTTTCATGCAGCTGGAGATCCAAAGCCAAACTGCGGGATGCTCACTATGCCCCTCCTCCCCCTATTTATTTATTTATTCGTCAATCAAATAAAAAACAATAAACACATTCACTAACCTGCAAAGAGATCCGGCTTCAAATTCCCCGCCGGGATCCAGCTTCGGACTCCCTACCGGGATCCGGCTTCGCACTGGTGCACTTTCCTAAAAAAAAAAACATAATTACAGTACATTAATTTACATTTACTTACCTGAAAAACAGCCTTCCTTTTCCAAGGGCGATCGCGGGACTCGCAATCTTCGAAACTGGCGGGGGTCCAGGTGTGGGAGCTGCCTTCCTGGCACGTCGGTAGCATTGGTGCTCAGCACGGAAAACAAGATCGACGGAAAAAACAAACCAAAGGATTTGCCGCAACGTCGGACACCGAATCGCCACCAAAACTCGCGACGGACACGGACACATTTTCGGCACATTCCCGGACTAATTCGCCAAAAAATCGATCTTTTCGATCTTTTCACACCGCGAAAAAAAAAACTGTACACGGCCAATGTGATCAACCCAAATTTGAATACAGTGTACTCAAAATCGCAAAAAGTGCAGGAACGCAGCGATGAGTAAATTTGCCTCGAGATTTGCATCATGTTTTCCGGTGGAAAACTTCAAAAATCTTCCGGAAAATTAGGATTGACGAAAATCCACAGAATCCAATCTTTACTTTTCTTATATTCGGAAAAAATTTACTGGAAAAACCTGGAAAACCTGGAAAAACAGAGGGAAATTAACTCAAAACTGAGTTCCTGTACTTTTTGCGATTTATGAGTGAACTAAACTCAAATTTGGGTGTTCTCATTCGCCGTGTAGTGCTGACTCAGGACAAAACAAACTTTGCATGCGGCGAGGGACCGAAGGACAACAATTTACATCGTGATGAAATTTGATTCTAATGTAACGTTAGGTTCTGTTGTCATTGGATGTATTCTGATGTTTTATGCGTGCAACAAATTACATCGTGATGAAGTTTGATTCTAATGTAACGTTAGGTTCAGTTGTCACTGGATGTATTCTGATGTCAAATTTTACATCGTCAAGACGTTTGATTCTGATGTAACGTTTGAGGCTAATGTATTTTTATGTACTTGGATGTCACACTGAAGTCTGAATACATTAAGGGTACAGAAATACACATTAAAATTTAATGTATTGAAGATGTCTGCTGATGTTTCCTACATTACAATTTCTATTCGGGGGAATACGAACCGTTGATATAAACACCCAGTCCCGCCAGCGATTCAGCTCATCGTCTTTGATGTTGTCATCCCAGCTGATTCCGGTCCGCAATAGTTCCTGTATGAGGACCTTTCCGTGAATCAGGAAAGCCGCAAGCAGTCTTAGCCGGTCGAACAGCGCAACACTTGCCGCATAGGACCGGTTTGTTGATGAATGGCATGACTCGATTGTTACAGCAGTACAGCTTGTTCGTACGGAATGTTACGCTGATCCTGTTACTTGGTAGCTTCTGATTGTGGACGTAGCGCTGTAGGCGGTAAACATTCATAACGGGCCCCTCGCATGACATGTTTTCCATAATTTCAGCATCCGTCATGTTTGCCTACACCCCGGCGATGACTTCCGTTACTGACAGGAAACTTTTCGATACGTAGAACATGTAGTTGCTTTCTTTCATATAGCGAATTCGTTTATTATTCAGTTCCAACCTGGATCGGGTATCAGGATTGGGTCTGCTTGTTTTCTGACAAACGTCAGTTTGCTCGTTTGTTTTTTAAACCTAGCTCAGGTTGAGGTTCGCACTGACAAAAAGTTCGGTTTCGCACTGGGTTGGAACTGGTTCCAGCCCCGATAATAAACGAATTCGCTAATAGTTTTATCTCCTTGCAGACGATTGGCAATGCTTAGGTTCCTGACAAATACCAGCAGTTTCTTCAGTCCCATCGGACGCATGTTGATGACATTGTCCTTGTAGTCCTTTGTTTAGCTCAGCAGTTTTCCTAGCGTCAGCTTGTTGATGCGGTCGTGCCTTCCTTGTCGTCGAGTAGCTCTACAATCAGCCGATATGGTCCGACATCGTTTCGTCGGTATTCGTAGACTTCGTGAGTTTTCTGCTTGTTCCCGGTGCCTCCAGTACCGAGTTATGTTACTCACTCAACAGCGAATAACAATTACACTGATTTCCCGGTTCAATCCACTCATAAACTGTTGGCTTATGTTAATGCTAGCACAAAAAAAAGAATATTTCCACAATATACTGGTTTGCCTTCAAGAAAAGTTTTTACTATTCAAATCCAATACACAAAAACGTGTGTTTTATAACAATGGCGGCAAACGAATGTGTAAGAAGGTAGGCCGTGCATTGAAACTGACGTGTTTTGAATTTGCGGCTGCTTTATGTTCCGAGATGTTTATTGAAAATTTAGTGCAATAAGTCCTTTAGCTGGTGCATTTTGGACACCTGAAAACTTTTTCAATAATTTTGCGTGTGTTTATTAGTGCTGTGTTTGGTTATTTAAAAAAAAATAGAATCGAAAGATTTTATTTTATTTACGATTGCCGCGAGTGAACAAACCGAGTTTTTTTCTTCCTTCGCCGCCGCCGTGAAACGTTACGAAAAAGCAGATTTCCGCTGAATTTTCTAATGTACGCTGTTGAATCGTGTCCGTTTGGGTTTAGTTACAAGTGCATAACGATCCGGAAGCCGGAAGTTACAAAATAAGTCCAGGGGGTAACGGTGATATCCAGTGGAAGTAGGTTAAAATCGAACGTGCAAATTTTCTCCTGCAACGTGCTGCTGCCTGCAAGCCAAAATGGGCGCGTATCTATCGGAACCACTAACAACGAAGAATTCGAGCGAGGAGGCAATTGATTTGCTTGCTTGCGGTTCCAGCTCGATGCAAGGCTGGTGGATCAGCCAGGAGTAGTAGTTTCTAGTGAAAGAAATGATCTCCATCACATCACTAAACAGAACCACGAGCATTGAAGAGGAACTGCATCCTAAACCCCATGATAAACAAGGAGCGGATGCATCCAATGAAAGCGCAAAAGAATCATTACGAACATAGGAAAAATTCAGTACGATCCTTCCATTGCATTATTTTATGATTCTTCAATATTGTACAAATATTTACACATTACTCACAACTATACATAGTAACTCGGAGCGTTTGGTACGGTAGGTCCACGTATCCTTGCACCCCTTGTAGATTCAAGAAATTAATGTTCCCATTCATTTCCAAGAATCATCTTTGCGGCAAATACAACGCAGTAGGCCTGGCCGTATTGATGTTTATATCATATCTCAGATATGCTGTAAACATCAATTAGACAAGAAAAATGATAAGACCTCATCTAACCTAATCATTTTCCAGGATGCTTTCTCGTACTGGCTGCGTTTGTATTAGATAAGATTAGATTAGATTAGAATGGTGGCAAACGAATGTGTGAGTTGACCGTCACTTTTAGCGAATTCGTTTATTATCGGGATTGGAACCAGTTCCAGGGGGTTGGAACCAGTGTGAAACCGAACTTTTTGTCAGTTTAAACTCAACCTGAGCTGGGTTTTAAGAACAAATGAGCAAACTGACGTTTGTCAGAAAACAAGCATACTCAATATTGATACCCGATCCAGGTTGGAACTGAATAATAAACGAATTCGCTATTTGATCCTTCAATACTCAAGCGTTAGTTTGTGTTTAGCAGGCTCAATGAGAGTACAGAGCAAGGTGATGCAGTGGCCACATTGCGCATCTCGAAACGAAAAACTTTTTCATACAAGAATTCGTACAAAAAGTGTTTCGTTTCAAGATGCGGAATGTGGCCCTAGATCGTGAAATATGGTTGTAGTAAACCAAAAAAACAACTTATATGCAATTACTGAAGTAACTAATTGGTTGTATCGTAGAATCACAGACCAGAACACTCGCAAGTTGTTCATCGAACAAACATTTAACGGTCAATTTAAAAGTATCTTAGTTGGTAGTACCATAGAGGTAACTCTAAGACCAGAACCAATAATTGATTCGAAAAATTTCTTTGTACGGTCGATTTGAAAATTGAGTTGTTTATAATATTTTTTACCGGTTATGACGAATATTCCTACCCGATTTGTAGCTAGCAAGCGGTGCTCAAAACGATTTGATTACATTTTGATTATAGGCCCTTTTCAAATGATACGCGAGATATGCCTTGTTCTTCAGATCAGATGTGCCTTCAGATCAGAGCAAGTTACTCTGAGTAACTCTCAGCTAAAGAGACACTCGCATTAAAGCCTTGTTTGCAGCAACAGTTTGTTTGTCTGCTATTATATTTTTGAGGACATGCAACCTAGCAGGGCTTTCGGATCTCAACAAAACAACCATATCTCGAGTAATTTTGCAACTTTTTACAGCTGAATACTAATCGTATATTCATAGATATTGTTATTATTCATATATCAATCGAATTTCTGGTACAATTTCAAGGTTGCTTCAAGAAAAGTGTAGGGAATAAATAGGCAGAACAAAATTTCTACAATCTACTACACAACTTGTATGTGTGTGTGTGTGTGCCTGTGTCCGGAAGGGAACCGTTATAACATTTTCTTTTGATTCAAATTTCACCTGTTTTGATATGCTTCCTAACCGGAATCTGCTAAAACATAAAACCGAAAATCTCGACAGAACTTAAAATTTGTTTCGCTAAAATTGTGAAACATTTAAAAAAAAAACGGAAACGAACATTTAAAACGAACGAAACATAAGAACATCTAAACGAAAAAAGATCATATTTCAGTACTTCGACAACCGTAAAAAATCTTGGTAGCAAATAGTAAGCAGCAATGTTTCCAATAATAGCGGTAATAATTATCATAGTAGCAATAATCGTAATAATAATAATAATAATAGTAGCGAGCGAGTCTGTGTTTGAAATCGAGTAAATATGCCCCGTAAATGCTTTTACACACCATTCTCTAGGTTCTGGTTGTTTATCATATGAACTATTGGTTTCAGGGTATTCGGTTTTTTTTTTCTTCTTCAAGCAATTGAATACAACTGTTTACGTTCAACGCGACTACTTTTGTTTCTGTTTGTTACTGGCAAATTTGCGACAAATGTGTATATTGTTTAAAACATACGGAACTTAGCTAGATAATAATCGCGTGTGTCTCTCTACTAAGCTTAACTTCTACCACCACGAAAGACCAGTCTACCAATATGAGGATCGGGTCAGGTCAAGCTTGGTTATATCTCGATGTCGGTGACGCTTTGGGACTAGAACAATTTGTTTTTTTTTCATATATGATTTAAAATTTTTGTTTATACAATACAATCGATTCGAGGGAAAGCAACATCGCGGACATTCATCTTCCATTTGCATATTTAAGTAGTCTTTAATGTTTCGCCACACCCAACTGCTAGGTGAGAAGGGAAGAAATCTTTTTTTTTGTTTTCGTTCGATTTTTGGGATGCCGCGGATTCCTGTTTGCGCCGGTTCGCTTTTACAATTTAAAATCAGATAAAACTAAAAGGTAACTAAAACAAAAAAATTGAGCAAATTGCCGTATTGCTCTCTGTCGTTGTTCTGGGTGTTTCTGTTGGTTTCTCCGACAACGGTGGTCATCAAACTTTGTTTGAATGGTTTTGTAAATAAAGAAAAATACTCACGAAATCTGCACTGTGCGTCGTTCGATGGTTTTTTGAAAAATAAGGAATTCATACAATAGCGGCTCGGCCTCGGCAAATTGCACCAACAAATTTTTGTTTTGAAATCTGAAAAGGAAAAACATGCAAAATGAGATGGTGTTTTTTTTCAGTGCGCCTGAAACGTATTAGGTTAGATTACACTCTAAAAAATCTTCACGTCCGATGCATTCAGAAAATATCAAATGATACGTGACGTTAGTAACTTTGATCTGCATGACACGACATGTTCACTAAAAATGTTGGTGGAATCGACCGTATATTTTTTTTAAATTAATAAGGATATTTTTAGTGAGAGAGAGAGAGAAGGATTAGTATTTTCCATTTAATTCCACTACTTTATTTGCTTATCCTTGACAGATACACGTATTTCGTTTACAATGTGCAGACTTCTTCAGTGTCTTGTACTAATACTCGACTGAAGAAAAACATCGCATTTACCGAATATATATTAACACAGGTACATTTTCACTTAGAAACTAGGTAAACTTAAATTTAATTTTCTATAGGAGCAGGTACTCCGCTGCTTACTCGTTGATGTGTCCTAGGTAGTAACTTGAAAAGCCATGTGTGTCCGTTTCCTTGATCCCTGTTGAGTAAAGTTGAATTACGTTGTTTGTTGATCTCGAGGCTTTCCGCAACATCCAATTTCCATGGTGTAGATACGGTTCGTAAAATCGTGATGTCCTCCGTCGATAGTTGGTGGTCCTCTGTGAAGATGTGTTCTGCAACCTTTGATTTTAAATCATATTTTAGGCCTTTTTCCTCTTGTTTTTTGGCCTTATTAACCTCCGCTATATGTTCTTTAAATCTAGTTGCTAAAGTTCTCTTGGTTTGTCCTACATATACTTTGTTACAATGATTACTGCTTATTTTATATACACCTGCTTTACCTAAAACATTAACAGGGTCTTTAGTGGATCCTAACAATGATTTCAACTGGTTATGTCTACTGGTGAAAACTAAATCTAATCCGAATTGTTTTAACTGTGGTCTTAGCTTGCAAGTAATATCTTGATCAAATGGAACGGACACTCGTTTCAATGGTTCAGGTGCTGCGGTGAGGGTTTGTTAATAACCTCCTTTATAGAATTCTCGCTTTTTTATCGATGATTGCCTGGATTGTGGTCTCCTTGTATCCGTTGAGTCTTGCTGTTTCGAAGATGTACTGTAATTCCTTAACCTTTCCTGTATCGCTGAGTGGAAGAGTCTGCATTCGATGAATCATGTGGTGAAAGGCGGCCATTTTCTGTTGGAACTCTTTTGGTACTTGATGGTTTCCTGTAAATTTCGTATTCAAGGGAGGAAGATGATGACGATTCCCTGATGACTAGAAGATCGAGAAATTTGAGTTTCCCGTCTTTTTCTACCTCGTGAGTGAATTTGATATCCTTGTGAATTCTGTTGATCTCATCTAAAATTTGTGGAAGGGCTTCCCGTTTAACTACGCTGAAGATATCGTCAACAAACCTCCTTTCTCCTTCAGGATTGTCTCCAAGTTGGCCATGAAAAGTTCACACAAGAAGAGAGGATGAGGATGCAGCATGCAGAAACAAGGTTCGGACGTACCTTAAGCTGACCCGCCTTTGTATGGAATAGAACTACTTCTCTTTCCGAGGTAACTTCTACAAGCAGACGAAAGGAGCCCCAATGGGAAAGGGGGTTTCCCATTGGGGCTCCTTTCGTCTGCTTGTAGAAGTTACCTCGGAAAGAGAAGTAGTTCTATTCCATACAAAGGCGGGTCAGCTTAAGGTACGTCCGAACCTTGTTTCTGCATGCTGCATCCTCTCGTTGTGTTAATAGCCAGTCCTCTAAATGGTTGATCGCTTCCTTGACCGGTACGCTGGGAAAAAGAGCTGTGACGTCGAAAGATACCATAATCTCGTCCTCGTTGATGTCTCCTGAAGATTGTAGTTCCTGGGCGAACTCCTGGGTGTTGCTAACTGCTTTACTCTGGAACTGATTCGGCATACTCTGGAACTCTTTGACTAGCCACTTCGCTAGTTTGTGGGTGGGGGAATCAACTGCAGACACGATCTCTCGCATTTCATTTCCCGGTTTGTGGACTTTGGGGAGACCTTTGTTCCTGGGTAGAATGGGATTGGGTTCCCGTAAACGACCTGCTCCATCTCCTAATATCGATTTGCACTCCTTCAGTGCTTTCTCCACGCATTTCACTATGTTCTGTAAGGGGTCTACTCGAAGCTGTCTATACGGTCCGTTGTTAATCTTCGTTGTCATCTGATTATCGTAATCGTCCTTGTCCATGATAACGACCGCGTTTCCCTTGTCCGCCTTCACGTAGTATACTGCTTTTAAGCTCCTTTACAATCCGAATTTCTTTTTCGTTGGCGCGACTTTGTTCCTGTCCGTCCTTGATTATGTTCGATGTGATAGTCCTAACCGTATTATGTGATGTTGTTGGAAGCGTCTTGGTTATCGCTGTTTCTACGTCAATGATGATCTGCTCCACGTCTGGCTTGGTTGTAACCGCGTATCCTAGCCCCTTGTTGAGGTGTGTCAATTGTTCTTCCGTGAATGCGGTCGTCGATCGGTTGACAACCAACCCATCAATGGAGTGAACCCTCGGCGTCGTGGTGATGGTTGATGGGATCTGCTCACCCGTTCGGTGTGTTGTCCGTCTCCGTTGAGACTCCTGTCGTAGTCTGTTTAGCTTCCTATCCGATTCGCACTCCTCTGCTACCTTGGCCCTAGACAGAAACTCCTGGAATTTAATTGGATACTCCTTGGCCAATTTGAGATGTAGATAATAACATTCCAAAGCCTTCATGTCCAGTATGCTATATAGCCGTCTGATGCTATCCTTGATGAACTCTGCTTCCATCCTCTTTACTACGCTGGCTTACAGGTATAACCTTATATTTTTGGCGATGCGATGGTTTTCTTCAATCCGATGAATTTATTTGGCTCCGACGGCTTGGTTGCCATGATGAATCCTGATGAATGTGGGCGTCTAAGTGGAATACCTGTATAATGAGGGAGAGAAGGATTAGTATTTTCCATTTAATTCCACTACTTTATTTGCTTATTATTAAATGGAAAATACTAATCCTTCTCTCTCTCTCATTATACAGGTATTCCACTAAGACGCCCACATTCATCAAATATTTTTAGCCTATGGCTAGTTCGTCTCTGGAGAAAGGAGAGGCCTCAGAGTGAGTAACCTCTAAATACATGGTATATTAACATTTTGTAAATAACTTTGGTTGCTGGCTCTTCAACTTATATGGAAAAAACTAAAAATATATAAAATAGTGAAACAGAGGAACTACAGAGGAGCTACAAACGAATAATCCAAACAAAACAGAGCTCAGCTGGCATGGGTCCAATGGGGGAAATCCATCCAGCTGAGATGTCCCGACGACCGAAAGAAATTCATGCTATATCAAGTGGTAGATTTTGGCTTCTTTTAAGAAGGTTCCCTAATAAAAATTGTATGGTTAATTTGCTTAACGACGTGTTCTGAGTATCATCCAAACCATTTGTTGAATAATTCGATGATTTGGGTTATCGTTCGTTTATGGTTATTTTTTATTAGGGTTACTAGTGCTGCCGAGGCCGGAGTATCATTCCCGAGCAGATCGCTGATGCTGGAACTCCGGGCAGTTGCACAGGATGTATTTGACGATGTAGGGTACCTCACAGATGATGCAGCTTCTGCGGAACGACAGGCCATCATGCTTATAGTAGAGTATGGTGTGCCCGATCTGAAGCCACGAAATCACACGTTGATCTCTCAGGTTGTCCAGTTCGCTCGATGGTTCAGTTGACCCTTTGACTTTGCGGTTAAAGGCAGTTCTGTTGCGGAACCACTCGGCCTACCATGCCGCTCGAATGGTCCGCATGATCCACCGTCTGACGTCCTATGGTGGTACCATGTCGGTGAGTCTGGGACCCGATGTCCTTGAACGACGCTGTGTGAGTCGGTTAACATAAGTATAGGATTGTTGGTTGGCGTCGTAGCGGCACGGAAGATCGCTGCAGCCTCGGCCGAGAAAACTGAGCACTGTGGAGGAAGACTGCTGCTTTCAGCAATACCGTCTCCGAAAATACCGATACCTACTCCGTTTGTCGATCGAGAGCCGTCGCCAAGTAACTCGGCGACCGATCTGCGCAAAATCACGGATGCATCCCCTGCTTTGAAGCAGTTCTTGATCCGATTTTCCAATTGGATTCGTGAAGAGTGTCAACTTTTCTCTCCATGCCAATGGACTTTGGCCACTGGGGGGAGGTCGATGTCGGCGGCCGTGCGGAGGACTCTGTTCCCCTCGTCAAGGAGAAAGATCATATTGTTTCTGGAGGTCTTGGCGGAAAAGGCGGCGGCTTTTGTGGCAATATTTGCGTTTAAGCAAAACCGGAAAGGAAGAGGACCCGCATCGATGCATGCGACGTCTGCTGGAGTGGATGGCAGGAGACCAGACATGATGCGGATGTAACTGTTGTAGACCGGTGCTAGGGTTCTAACCTCCATGCCTCTCGGAAGCGATACAAGTAATTTCCGTCCCGCAAAGCAACCTACTGTCGATGATGGCTCGCGCCACCCGGAACCGAACATCGCGGTTGTTGGATCGGTGAGGCCGAGAGATCGTTTTAACGAGGTTGAGTCTACTGCGGCAGTCCTTTTTGACCTGTTGGCAATTCTGGTCGAAGGAGAGCGTTCGGTCGATCAGTACGTCGAGGACGCGGTTGGGATGGCTTGGTCGTGGATCGTAATTGGGGTGCTATTGACTCGGTGATGAGACGGACATACGTGGCATCGGATGCTCTTCCTGGCGGACAGCTGGAAACCCATCGAGTCGGTCCATTTGACGACGGCAGAGACTGCCGCTTGCGCTTGCCGTAGGGTTCGGATCTGTGTGGGACCGGCGGCCACAATCAACCCAGGTAGCCGATCAAATACCCCGATCATTGCCACCAGAAACAACGTGACTGCGATAACGAACCGAAACCTTGTCGAAAGGCATGTTGTCGAGCAAGCTGTTGGTCTCAAGGAACATCTTGAGTCGACGGTTCACCATCCGTTCGAATACCTTGGCCATGCAGGATGT